CTTGTGACAGTTTGCTGGTTGTAGTGTTTGTTTCAGAAATATATTTTTGTTAACTTTATTTGGTTCTGAGGGAGTCAAGTAGTTGGTATGATCTCGTCAAGTCGTATCCTTACATACTTCAGAAGAAACTACTCATACATCATCAATAATTGCGAAGATTCAGTAAAGACATTTTTTTTATGGCGGCCATCTTGGATTCGCCATTTTGGAAAATTTTTATTTCCAGTAGAACCTGATCAGGTTCCTTGATAATTTTTGTTTGAAAGCCATACATCCATCTCTGACGCTTTGGCCGGGCAGCTGGTGTCCTACCTGATGCAGACCACGTCTTGAAGGGTTTGGATTTTTCTGGTATTCAATATTCTCAGTCAAACACAATCCTTGTACATTTATTTAACACACCTTGATTCGTTCTAGGAGAACAATGACGTTGGACGGTGGAAAATGTATGGCAGCCATGTTGGAAAATGTAGAACTACAAACACAATTTCATATTATGGGGCCTCATATGCGGCCAAGTGCCAAATTTCAGCACCATCGGTAAATTTTTTTCGGGCGCCATCTTGAATCGGCCATTTTGAAAAAATTAAGTTGACAGTCAATTAGCTCCTATCGCTTTTTCGGACTTAAGTTTAAACATAATTTACCTATCTCTAATAGTTTCAGAGATATAGTCCCCCGAAATTTGTATGGCGGCCATTTTGTTTTGCGAATTAGATTTTTTTTTTACTCCCGGTACAAACTGCCCAGGGTGTGGAGCAACATTTGTTTGGAGACCTTAGGGCTAAAACGTATACTTCGCACGTGGTACTACTGGGGTCCTACCTGATGCTGAGCACTTTTCGAAGGTTTTGGTACTTTTTGATACTCACCAAGTCCACCCAACCATTATTCGCATACGTCATTCTTACATACCCGCGTTTCTTCTGGGAGAAATGTGCTGGTCAACAAACCGAAAATACACTTGTATGGCGGCCATCTTGGAAAATGGCGGAATTCAAATTTCGTTCACAGATACATACTATGAACCTCTATTCACGGTCGGATATTAAATTTCAGTCGGATCGGAGCACTTTTACTTCTGGCGGCCATTTTGAGTCCTCCATCTTGAAAATTTTTTTTACCTGCAGTTGGCTCGTACTATTCTGTACGACATTTGCTTGAGCGCCTCTCATCTATCTCCAACACTCGCCGAGATGTAGGCCTCGGAACATAGTGGACTGTGGAAAATGTATGGCGGCCATATAGGAAAATGGCGGAATCTAGAATTTGACCGCAAATTCGTATTACAGGCTCCCAAATATGGAAGGCTATAAAATTTCAGCCGGATCGGAGCACTTTTTTGTCGGGCCGCCATCTTGAATCGGCCATTTTGAAAAAATAATTTCGACAAACAAGTCTACAGCCAGCTAGATCTTATCGCTCTCTACGATATTAGTTTGAACGCGATCTACCTATCTCCAACAGTTTCCGAGATACCGGCCGCCGAAATTTGAATGGCGGCCATTTTGTTTTCCGAATTTTGAAATTTTTTCACTCCCCGTAGAAACTGCCCAGGGTGTGAATAATCATTTGTTTGGAGACTTTGAGCCAAGACGCATACTTTGGCCGGGCAGCTGGGGTCCTACCTGATGCGGAGCACTTTCCGAAAATTACGGTATCTTCTGATACTTACCAAACCCGTCCGTCTATAATTCCCCTACATTATTTTAACCCACCCGCCCGTCTTCCGGGAGAAAAATGACACCAAAGAGCAGAAACTTCACATGAATAGCGGCCATCTTGGAAAATGGCGGTGGACTCCCGGACAGCCGGATCGGAGCACTTTTTTTTGGGTCCCCATTTTGAGGCGGCCATCTTAAAAAAAAATTATCACCAGCAGTTGACCCCCATCGCCCTCTATAAATTTGGTAGAGGACCTCCCGCCTATCTCGAATACTCGCCGAGCTACAAGGCTCTAAAATTTGTATGGCGACCATCTTGTTTACTCGAATTTTGAATTTTTTTCACTTCTGGTAGAAACTGACCAAGACGGCGGCCATTTTTAGTTTGACGACCCTGTCGGTAAGTGTTATACTTTGGCCGCGCTGCCGGGTTCCACCTGATGCAGTCCATTGTTCAAAGGTTTTGGATTTTACTGGTACTCATTGGAGCCATCCGACCACGACTCCCGTACATCATTTTTACCCACCGCGACTACTTCTGGGAGAACAACTATCTAAATCACTGGGTCAGTCAGTCAGTGGTAATCGAGCTATATATAATCGAGCTATATATAATATAAGGAAAATAAAGAAAATTGCTGAATTAAAATTTCGAACACAGATTTGTATTGTGGGCTTCTATACATGCCCAGATATCGAATATGAGCCGGATCGGAGCACATTTTTGTCGAACCGCCATTTTGAATTCGCCATTTTGAATTTTTTTTATTACCAGCAATTGGCTCTTACCACCTTCTATCACATTTGTTAGAGCGCACTCCACCTATCTCCAATACTCGCCGAGATGTGGGCCTCCAAACACATTGTCCTATAAAAAATATGTATGGCGGCCATCTTGGAAACTGGCGTAAATAAAATTTTGACCACAAATTCGTATTGTGGACGTTCTTTACATGGCCAGATGTCGAATTTGAGCCAAATCTGAGCACCTTTTTGTCGAACCGCCATTTTGAATCCGCCATTTTGAAATATTTTTTTACCACCAATTGGCTCTTACCATCTTCTATCATATTTGTTTAAACGCGCTTCACCTATCTTCAATACTCGCCGAGATGTAGGCCTCGAAACACATTAGACGGTAGAAAATGTATGGCGGCCATATTGGAAAATGGTGGAATCAAAATTTTGACCACATATTATTTTTAGGAACTACCAGACATGGAAGTGTTTAAAATTTCAGCCGGATCGGAGTACCTTTTTGTCGGGCCGCCATCTTGAATCGGCCATTTTGAAAAAATAATTTCGATAGCCAGTTAGACCCTGTCACCATCTACGATATTAGTTTGAACACGAGTCGCCTATCGCCAATAGTTTCCGAGATAGAGGCTTTCAAAATTTGTATGGCGGCCATTTTGTTTTTCGAATTTTGAACTTTTTTCACTTTCCTTAAAAATTGCCCAGGGTGTGTATGAACATTTGTTTGGGCACTTTGAGCCTAGACGTATACTTTGGCCGGACGGCTAGGGTAGTACCTGATGCGGAGCACATTTCGAAGAGTTGAATAGTTTTTGACGTTCATATGACCGATATAACCATTACTCTCCTACATCACTTGTACCTATCCACCCTTCTTCTGGGCGAGAAATGACTCCAAAGGGCGAAAGTTTCACATGTATGGCGGCCATCTTGGAAAATGGCGGAATTAAAATTCTAACCCCAGATTTGTAACCTAAGCCCCCATACGCGTCCGCATGCCAAATTTCGGCCGGATTGGACCACCTTTTTTTCGGGCCGCCATTTTGAGTCGGCCATCTTGAAAAAAATTTGTCACCGGCAGTTGACCCCCGCCGCCCTCTATGACATTTGGTCGAGCACCCCCCACCTACCTCTTGTAGTTTTCGAGATATAAAGCTCTGCAATTTGTATGGCGGCCATCTTGTTTTTACGAATTTCGAATTTTTTTCACTTCCGGTAGAAACTGACCAGGGTGGCGGCCATTTTTAGTAAGAACACCTTTCCGGTAGGTCTTATACGTTAGCCGCGCGCGTAGGCGTCTACCTGATGCAGTCCACTTTTCGAAGATTTCGGATTTTTCTGGTACTCCCGGGACCGATCCGTCTACGAGTCTAGTACATGATTTTTACCCACCGGCACTCCTTCTGGGAGAACAATTATGTCAGTATCTAGTTCAGTCAGTGGTAATCGAGCTATATATAGTATAATAATAATAGACATTACTTATTAACGCATGTGGTTATGTAATCGTGCATGCGTGGCATGCGCAGTTTAGTCACGGTGAAACTATAATACATAAGTGTAGGTTAAAGTGAAATGGTAACAGGTGTGTGGTAAGTACCTCTACCTGCACAGCAGGGTTGGCGCGGAAGTAGGCGAAGAGCGCGCCGGTGATGGCAAGTAGCGCTACGGCGTTGAGCAGGATCTGCATCAGCCTGAATCGGTGCGGGGAGCCCTCGACGCCGCCGCCGCGCATGTCGCGGAGCATCTGAGCGAAAGAAGGAAAATGTCAAGAGTTATTATGTTAATACCTTGTGGCGTGTCTTCTAGTTAGAAGTTATGAAATTTCGACCAAACGTTATTTCTGGAAAATGTCATTTCGGAGTACAGATAGGTAACCCTAGTGCTACTAAAGATGATTCGGATAAGTCAGTACATAGAAGTACAAATATATTTCCTTTTTAACCGACTTCAAAAAAGGCTGAGGTTCTCAATTCGACTGTATGTTCTTTTTTTTTGTTTTTTTTTTTCTTTTTTTGTATGTTGCGCGATAACTCCGGTATTTGTGAACCGATTTTCATGATTCTTTTTTTGTTGGAAAGGGGGTATTTCCATAGTGGTCCCATTTCATTTTGAAGAAAATCATACACCTCAAAGGGTGGCTGTTCACGCATGAAGATTCATTTTTATAAATAGCGCCTAACTTTAATTTAGGAGCAATTACTTTTAGCAATTATTTAGTTGATTTTGCTATTTCTCCAATTCAAGGCGTTTTTCTCTCGATATACTTTGAGTAGTGTCGTAGTGAGAACCTATTTTTATTATCTCCAGTATCAAGCCCTGTATAGTGGCGAACTAGGGGATATTTCAATGAAACTTAGCAAATAGACATAATTCCACGTACTTTTGAGGTCGGTTTTTTAGTACTCTGTACTGAGATTATTCACACGCTCGCTTTGATGAATATGCCTTATACATATATAATTGGAGGTTATATCATTCGGAATACTCTGAATATAAAACAGAGAAATTAATTCCTTAACTGTAGGCATAATGAACGCAGAAACAAAACCTTTCGTGCGAATGATGGATCCAGTATCAGGGTAAAATCCATAGCCGCATTTGGTTGACCGGTGACAAAAAGAGCGAGCGGTAATTTAGTCGCAAAATTAACGTACTGCGTACACTCTCCTAAAGGTGTCTTAAGAAAGGTAGATAAGAGATCGTCCAGGGAAGTACTGCCACCTCACCTATTTCTACCGCCAAGCAGTAATGTGAGCATGACTGCGTTCTGGTTCTAAGGGCGCTGGTGAAATTACAGGCACATGAGACTTGTCTACTTATGCCTCACGTGGCAGGCGCAGTGGCAGTGTCTCTCAGATTTTTGCGACTTAAAGCTCTGAGTGGCACTGCAAATGTCATGAACAAGCGTGTAGCTTACCACTAGGTACTTGCCTTGTTCGTCCCGTCACTTGATATTACGAAAAAAATAATTTTACCGTTCTTCATGTCGTATCAGTGCAATAATAAAAGTTCCAAAGCACAAATAAAACTGCCGCGAACTGAGGCCAACTGTAATACTAAGCTGCGACAAAATTAATCATATTTAGCAAATAATCTGTACCTCGAAATATTAATATAAATAATATACTATACTTCTAAAATAATACTAACTTACCGAAAATAAATATTCTCCTATGAAAATGTAGAAGAAACATATTTATATTATTGGTTATAGATTTACTTTTTCAACTTTCAATTTTAATAAAAATAAACCTACCCTACTTCAAACGTGATCCTAACAATTTTTTTATCGAGCTTTCTCTGCAACACTATCAGTTTAAAAATTTTATGCGATCGTGGAGGTCTTTGTGGACATAAAATAATTCCTATTTCTAACGGCCACCGTCTACGTATTGTCAAATTTAATAACTTTCATGTATAATTGATAATGATGGTGAGTTTCTATAATGCCATTGATTAATATTTCCATATGATAGCATAGTTTAACAAGCATCCGTTTATTAAATGTATGCTTGTGACTTTTTATTTAGTGATTTACGATAAAAATGGCTAAAAATAGCTTCCGTAAAATATAAATTAAGTTGGGAGTATTAGGTCCGTAAGATTTTCGGAACTTTCAGTATTTCATTCCATTGTTTCTTTTTTGCCCAAAAGTTTGAGGTGGCTTAGTAAATAAAGCAGTAATATTCATATTTTGAACGAGCTCATTTATAGTTCACTTTACCTTTTTTAATTTTAAATTGTGTATGTATGCAAAGTATCATAGCCTCGAACATCGTCGTGAAGTAGGACGCTGGCCTCTCTGCAAGGAGAATGTGATGACGAAAAGGAAGATTACGATGTGACCTATAGATGTCCTTAATCCTCTGCTTTGTCAACATGTTCTCTAAAGTATGCATTCGTGAACGTTATTCACCGCTTATGTTAAATACGTCTTCACGGTAACATTCCGTCCGAAATTCAGTATCTATTTCGCAGATACAAGAGTCAATCTGGCACCGCTGTGAAGGGTAATTTCGTGAACTTGATCTATCAATAATTCTATTATCTTGTCAGCTTTCGGCAAAATAATTGGATGTTTCTGTGATGGCCCCAAGTTTGCATGTTCGAGTCGGCCGCCAACTCGTAATACGCCCGCTTTTTCAAGTATTAGATTCGAGCTCAACATTTTGCTTGTTACCTATCTGCAATGTAAATACTTAATAACTTCCTGCTGCGCTTATAAGTGCTTGTCGTATATCTCGCACGTCTCGATTTAATTAATAAATAGTTCTGGAAAATGCTCGAAATATGGTTGTTGAGTAAATAGCTCGTTTGCGTATAAATTGCGAATAAATGTATCATTTACCAATGATTTTTTTAACCATAATATTCCTTACAAAAATTGTCTTAAGGCCCTAATTTAAACGAACATTATATATTTCCATCAACATTTTGTATAAAACGTCGAAACTTTCGTCACAGGCCTGAAGAAAATAAAAACGGCGGCAAAGGAAATTGGCCTCACGGGATTTAACGCAATTCTAAAGAGCCGTAATCTGCTTGTGTATCAACGGGTGAAAAGTGCTGCTTTGGCATCTAATTGAAACGATTCACAATAGAATAAACAAGCATGTTTGAAAATATACACATCAAAAGTATCAAGCACGTTTTTGCTAATAAGAAAAAGTAAGTGGTAATCTATAAATCACTCGCACAAATAATTTACGTTTATGCAATATGATTGATAGTCAGTAGCAAAGTGTATTCCAAAGTATATAATTTAAGTAATAATGACCCTTCGTAACCTGTAAAATGTCCAAAATATCAAAATTATAACAAGTCACTCTGAAAGCGCAGTCAATTTTCTATCACGCATCAAATTCATGATACAGTATCAGAGGGTGAGGAGGTCCCAAACTGTAATGGCGCGCCATCCATCTCGCGCGTCTCAGAGACAATATCTCAGTGAGACAGCTCACCTGTCATTCATCACTGGCAACGTCTCAGCGAGTAAGCAAGTTATTTCTATTTTCAGTCGCTGAATTCATTCATTATGGTGCAACTAAAAGTTCAATCATTTCAATTTACTAAAAAATGAATTGGGTTCAGCACTGGTACCTGTGCGACAAAAAGGTTTCTAATACACTACCTAAATAAAACGAAAGACGATACAATCATTTCCGCTCAATTTTTGTTTTTCTTTCCAATTTCAGTCAAAATACTAAGCAGCTTATTTTGTTAATGAAAGCGTATTCAAAAGTATCTGTTTAGAGGCTTCACATAAGTGACTATTAAAGTAAGCTATTTATTAACTTCCAGTCCCTAATATTAATTATGAGATTTAAACCCTGAAAAACTGAGGGCTCTTTTATGAAAAATTATTTTATATTAAAACGGTAACGTAACCTAACGTAACTGTAACGGTAACGGAAAAATTAACGTGGAGAAGCCATCTAGGTACAAAATGTTTGTGAGTTCATAGGAGTGACGCATAAAACAGATTTATTGAAATTTCCAAATGGAAGTTATATTTGTAGCAGGTTGGCGCATTTCGATTGATAATAAAACGCATTACCGCTTGGGGGCAGGCCACGTCGCGAGATATCGGTGACAGCGGGAACGAAACTCACACCTCCAAAACTATTTCTGTTTCTTTTAATATATCAGTTGGCGGGACGAAGCAGGCGTGCTCCTGAGGGTAAACGATACGTCTATCCATAATAGCTTTAATGGCATAACAGCTTCTTCATTCATTATTTCTTTAATGGCAAAAATCTGTGGGGCACTGCTACTGCGTTCGTCACCCTGAGGCATAAAATTCACAATTCCTATGTGCTTGTAATTTCACTAAACCTTTACCTTTCAATAACGGAATGCAGTAAAGATCACGTTAAGTGACCAATACACGTAGCTACTTGCCTAGACGAACTCTTTCACAAGGAACTCTACTGCTGCTACGTTACTTTGTGGAAGGGTTCGTTCTTCTAACTTCACTTTTAGAAATTCACTCAAATAATTTCCAGATACATCGATGAAACAGCGAATCCTTTGCATGGATGGTCTGATGGTTTGCATGTATTTATATTATTATAAACTTCTCGTGTTATCGACTAGGACTTTAAAAACACATACACTTTTTTTCGACCGAATTTATTAGGAATTAAATTAATTTAATTCCATTTAAAATATCTCTATTTATTTCCCTTATTATTCCGCTGTCTCTTATGAGTGAAGCACTATCGGGCTGCCGCACACGAGGTGAACTTTTATTATAGCACTTAGTTCTAGCTTTGAATGCATCCACCGCTGCATCGCTGCGTGTGACGTTTATGTTACCCACTCTAGCGCGGTCAGAGAACGCTGGGGCCTTACCACGAACTCTTATTACGATTCAGGTTAGGACCCAAAATGAATCTTTGTGAGCCAGCGCTACATGAAGTGTATATCACCATTCCGCTTTTTTGTCGTTACGAACCTAAACTGAACTATAATAAGAGTTCATGGTGAGGCCCCTGTACAGTGCTTATTGCGCTGTTCTTCATTATTCTAAAGTACCCACACTTGACACAGGGTATTAAAATTTGTTTATTGTTGAACGAGACATTTTAAGGTAACTGGCGATGTGGAAACACAATATTATTAGAATTTTTCTGCACGTACCCAATTTATTACAATCTCGACAAGATCCTTTGACGACACAGGCCATTGAACTGACTTTATTTGGGGGCTCTCGAGCTTATCTATTAGTGACAAATCGTTGACCGGCTGTTAAATATTCTACCTCAATACACCCAAACGACTAAAAAGACTTGTTAACGAAACTCACCCGATGATGAAGCGACATGTTGCTCCCGTTTTGGAATCTGACAATGGTCTGCAGTGACGCAGGCGTCGACATGCTTTTCGTTATAGGTTGGTTTCCTGCTTCCTTTTCCTGTTGTTCTTTAAGTAGCAATCCTCTTGCAATCTTTGCGTTTAAGCTTTTGTTCACGTGTTGATGAGGAAGCAATGGCGCTTCCATTGTCTTCGTAGTGTAAGACGGGGACGACGTCTGGCTGAACGAATCTGAAGACACGTTGGAGTCTTGGCGAACGCTGATGTTCGAGCCAGAACTCGGAGAACGTTTCATGGATTGGTTGTTTTGTGGAGGAGGAGTGTATGGAGTGTCGGGCATTTTTTGAGGAGGCCTCCGTGCCATTGCAGGTTGGGGATTACGGTTACAGTCGAGACGTGGTGGTGGCTGAGACTGGACTGGAGTGGATTGCCGGCGGTTGCCGTTGGGATCCGCTGGGCTGGTCGCAGTGGGCCGAGGTGGAGTTGGTGGAGGATGTCGGCGCGGGGGCTGCGGGGAGCGACGCGGCGGCGCGGGAGGCGCCGTTGGTACCGGCGGAGGAGGAGGTGCTGTACGTTGTGGTACAGGTGGTGGCGCCGGTGACGCTATCTGTGCTACTGGTGGCTGGATTTGTGTCGGTAGCTGGATTTGTGGTGGTGGAGGTAGCTATAACAACCAATAGCGCATGTCAAATACTATCACTTTGAAACACACAAAGACCACACCCAGTAACAGACATTGGTCAACTTAACACGAGTAGGGATTGCAGTACCTTGACGTGATGCCTGACAGGCGGCGGCGCGATCCTGGAAGGCGGGCAATAGGGCAGTGCGTCTGAGGGGCAGTAGACGAAGCCGGTGGGGCGCAAGGGCTGTGTGGGCGCGGGCGCACACGCCGCCGTGGAGTGCCGCCGCGGCGTGCCCGCGCTGGGCCGCAGCAGTTCGAGCAGCTTTTCGCCGGATGTAGCGAGGCTGCCGGCGCGTCCGCATCTGATGGTAAATAACCAAAGTTACTTTCAAAAAAAAGCACGAGTAACACGTAGCTTAGCATTTTCAAGAAAACCAGTTGTTTGATATAATTAAAAAAAAAGTTTATTGAATAATTTATTTTACAAAGGAATAACTAAAGACTAATTATGCGAATCAATGTAAAATGTAACATGTACCTATACCTGAACTAGGCGAATCCTATAATACAGGTAAAAAGTACTAATTATACAGGTGGATATATAATTAAATTATGAACAAAAAAACTAAACAATAAAATTCAAATCATATACCTATAACCTATACGCTTATATTAAACAACATTTTGGAATTATTAATAAATTCTCTGTACCATCGTAGGACATATTTTGAAGGAATTCTTGGAGAATTTGTTTAACCTTTATCCTATATCTTTTATACGATGCTTGTAATATTAAATTAGCTGAATTACATTTAGCCTTAATATGTAGTTTATCCCTTTGTCGCATAATGCGAATAAGTCCCGGTGTAATCCAAGGATTGATATCGTAATTTTTATTATTTAACGCACGACTTTGGTGTTACTTTATATTGATTGCTGTACATTTTTTACTAATTAGGACATACGGAAATCCGAATTATAAACTGGGTTAGAGTCAATGTTGCATAAATCTTCTTCAAGTTTATTTATATTGATTTTAGAAATTATTTGCGTGCGAGTAGAATTAAGCTATTTACGATTAAGGGTTAGTAGGGCGGCTCTATGATCGGTCATAGTCGAGTTAGTAATTAATGCTATTGCTATGTGGTCTAAGCAAGAGCCGCTTCATTGAGTGGGGAGAGTATTCTCAGGAAGTAAGCCATGAAACGAGCATAAGTTTAGGTATTCTCGCGCAATGTAATCTGTGCTACCTGGGAGAATGTTGATGTTTATATCTCATATTAATAATATTATAAATATATTAAAAGATGATAAAAGTTGAAACGTAACGGTATTTCTAAAAGAGGGGGAGGTCTGTATAAAGCTAATATTGCTATGTCTGAGCCAATTTTGATTAGGAGCCGATTGCAGTCCAATATATTTGGTTCTTCAAGTGAGATATTTAAATTATTGCTAGCATAAACCACTATACCGTCATTTT